GAATGCTAGCCTTCTTGCAACCTTAGTTCAGTCTTACAAATAGCCATTGAGTTCTCTCCCTATTCAATTTCTGGCTACAGGAGAACAAGCTGCCGCAGGACGAGGACTGAACCAAGGAATCATTGGAAGAATCTTCAATGGTATGGTATTAACGGTGGAACCAACTCTCTGACAATAGTAACAGTGTTGCTGTTGCTGCTGCTGTTGTTGTTGTTGTTGTTGTTTGGTGCTGCCAAGTCAGTTCCTACCCAAACACTACCAGGTCCTGTGCCATCCTCATAATTGTTCTTATGTTTGAGCCTATCGGTGCAGTCACGGATCCTCCTCTTTTTGACTGCCCTGCTACTTTACCAAGCAGGATGTCCTTCTCCCGGGACTGGTCTCCCCTGACAACATGTCCAAAGCACTTGAGATGAAGCCTCGAAGAGTACTCTGGTCGTACTTCTTCCAAGACAGAATTGTTGGCTCTTTTTCCAGTCTATGGTACTTTCAATATTCTTTGCCAGCACCACAATTCAAATGTATTGATTCTTCTTTGGTCTTCCTTATTGAATGCACAACTGTCACACGCAGATAAAACCATGGAAAATCCTATGGCTTGGGTCAGGCACACACCTTAGTCCTCAAAGTAACAGCCTTGCTTTTTGATACTTTAACGAGGTCTTGGGCAGCAACTTTACCCAATGCAATGCATCCTTTGGTCTCTTGACTGCTGTCTCCATGAGCATTGGTTGTGGATCCAAGTAAGACCAATCTCCTGAAAACTTTAGTCTCGTCTCTGTTGACCAGGATGCTTCCAATTGGTCCAGTTGTGAAGATTTTGGTTTTCATTGCATTGGGTTGAAATCCATACTGAAGGCTGCAATCCTTACATTAACAACTAGCATTGATTGAATGATGACTATGCTTCAGGCTCTGGTCTAAACATGTTGTACATATTAACCATTTATTCCCCAGAACAACTCTACGAGGTAGATATCCGGGGCACTAAGGCACAGAGAGGTCTGGTAAATTGCCAAGGTGGTATAGTGAGGGGCAGACCCGGGATCCATACTCTCAACTGCTGGACTCTATGCAGTCTACTGCCTCTCCAGAAAGACAGCCTGAACAGACCCAAGATCACCTCCAATTGGTTCTGAGTCTGACAGTGATCCCAGGGCACCAGGAGGGATTCATTTTCCATTGTAATGCTTTACTCATCTTCACATGATCCACGCTCACTCACCTCCCCCATCCACAAGTCCTGTGGGCATGCACACCCGAGCCTCTGCGCTACATGCCATTGATGGCCAGTGTTCTCACCCTTTGCCGAAAGGACAGAATGACTCCTGTCATGGCTGGAAAGTGTGGGCTGGCTCCAGCCATTGTGCTGTCCTCGTGGAGCATGGAGGCACAGAAACCTCTGGATGGGGCCCAGGTCCACACAGCCCAGAGGGACGGACTGAAAACGCTGCTTTCCTTTCCGAGACAAACCTCCAAAGCAGTGAGGATTACCTTTAAACACCTACCTTGATGGGGAAGGGAGATCCTTTGGGGTCCCAGGAAATAGAGTGATCTTAAGACTCGGGGATTTGTATGGAAACCACAGAGTGGCTTTCTCTTGTGATCTGACCTTATTAGATCCCCCAACCAAACTCCCTGCCATTGAGTCGATGCTGATTCATAGCGACCCTCCAGGACAGGGTAGAACTGCCCCTGTGAGTTTCTGAGACTGTAAGTCTGGGGTAGAAAGCCAGTCTTTTTCCCTTCGAGCAGCTGGTGGTGGTTTCGAACTGCTGACATTGGGGTGAGAGGTCCAATGCTTAACCATTATACCACCCGGCTTCTTCCTCGTTACAGAGTGGGGAGAAAAAGAGGAAACAAGAACTTCTCAAGAAGGCTTTGAAATGGATTTCTACTTAGCTAGAAAGCCATGGTATTAAAATGAGAGAATTACCAAGAGGAGCCTATGAATATTGTATTGTTCCCCCCCTTCCAGTTTGCAGGTAAGCACACACTTTTAAGTTGAATAGGAATGAGACAAAAAACTCATTTCCCATGTGGGGCTGGGGGCTGCTTCCTGAATGTACCTGATGCTGTTATCAAGAGAGAGAATGTGGCACTCAGACCCCTAATGGTCAGGAGGGAGTCCATCCTCAAACAAAAGGCCGTGTCTAAAGAGGACGCTGAGACTTTCCCAGGGGCTATGGGATTTGAAGGTGGACTGCCCACGTGCCATTTCAAAGAGCCCCCTGGGATTTTGTCCACTTCTACACAGTTTCCCTGTGCACATACCCACATTTAGGGGAGAAAAGCAAGGTATTTATCCTTAGCAGAAGAAGGATTTAAACTGAAATATCTTTATGCTTTACAGATTATTTTGAAAAAGAAGATATATTTTTCTTTCTAGGTGCCCTTAAGAAAGGTAAATGGAAAACAAACAAACAAAAACAACAGCAAAAGAATAGCCTATAAATAGTTCCAGGTCTGTTTGTTGACCTTTAGGAGTGTTTTCCAGTCGAGTCTAATGCCCTGGCCCCAAAGTCTATTTTTGGTATTCCCCTGGGACTTCGTTGCTTTGCTCCCTTTGCTGCTCTGTTGCACTCCCTTAGTGTTTCACCCCAGTGTGGTAGGGTCAGATCAGGCACAAGCCCCGCCCTGTGCCTCCAGTGTTGTCCCTCATAGCCATATGGATCAGTGAGGGACATCTTGTCTCATGGTGGGGCCGGCCCTATGGTCCAGTCTGTGCATTGGCTGCTCTGAGCAGGAAGATCATCGTCAAGGTTTGGTGAGCCAGGTTGTGTTCCACTCTCTCTCCTTTCCTCTTCGTTTGCTCCTGTGTGCTCTGATCAGACACTGTTTTTATGCTGTTGTTTTTCTTTTGTTCTGTTTTGCTCTTTTTTGTGTGTGCTTATTATTGTCTCTGCATGTCTATGTAGATAAGATAGGCACAATAAACAATCCAGGGGAGAAAGCAATGGGACCGATGGTTCTGGTGGGGGGACACGAGATAGGGGGAGGCGGGGGAAAGGAAGTGGGTGTTAACAAACTCAGGGACATGGGAACAACAAGTGATCTAAAATTGATGGCGATGAGGGTGTAGGATGCCTGACGGCTTGATCAAGGACAATGCAACCAAGAGGAGTTACTGAAACCCAAATAAAGGCCGAACATGATGGTGGACAGAAGGAAAGTAAAAGGAAATAGAGGAAAGACTAGGAGGCAAAGGACATTTATAGAGGTCCAAATACAGGCATGTACATATGTAAATACATTTTTATATAGCTATAGGGAAATAGATATATGTACATATATTTATATGTTAAGTACCAAGGTAGAAGATGGACATTGGACCTCTACTCAAGTACTCCCTCAATGTAAGAACCATTTGTTCTAATAACCTGGCATTCCCTGATGCTCCCCTTCCTGACATGGTGTATAGCAAATGTGGTGAAGAAAGCTGATGGTGCCTGGCTACCAAAAGATAGAGCATCCGGAGTCTTAAAGGTTTGAAGACAAATAAGGGGCTATCTAGCTGAGAAGCAACAAAGTCCACATGGAAGAAGCATACCAGCCTCTATGATCATGAGGTGTCGATGGGATCAGGTATCAGGCATCTAAGACCCAGAACAAAAAATAATATCAATGTGAATGATGGGGAGTGCATAGTGGAGCCCCAAAGCCCATCTGTAGACAATTGGATATCCCCTTACAGAAGGGTCACAAGAGAGGAGCTAGTCAGGGTGCCGTATAGCACCAATGAAACATACAACTTTCCTCTAGTTCTTTAATGATTTCCCCCATCCCCACCCCCCCCCACCCCTGTCCCCTATCATAACCCCAATTCTATCTTAAAAATCTGGCTAGACCAGAGCATGTACACTGGTACAGATAGGAGCTGGAAACACAGGGAATCCAGGACAGATAAACCCCTCAGGACCAATAATGAGAGTAGTGAGACCAGGAGGGGAAGGGGAAGGAGGAGGGAAATGAGGAACTGATACCAAGGGCTCAAGTAGAAAGAAAATGTTTTGAAAATGATGGCAACAAATGTACAAATGTGCTGGACACAATGGATATATGTATGGATTGTGATAAGAGCTGTATGGGCCCCCAATCAAGATGATTTTAAAAAATAATAAAAAGAATGGTAAATGGATCTTATGATTTAGGAATGATGTGTAAGGGGCAGGACTTGTGAGTTTGTTGTACCCGTCTGTGGCTTGCATGGTGTAGCTGTGATGCTAGAAATTCTGTCACTGGTACTTCAAATACAAGCAGGGCCACCCATGGAAGGCAGGTTTCAGCAGCACTTACAGGGTAGGAAGAAAGGCCTGGTGATCGACTTCCAAAATTAGCCAGTCGGAACCGCGCGACAGGATCTTGTTTGGCAACGGGGAGGGCCAATGCAGATAGGGGAGACTGGATGAGCTGGACAATGATGATGTGGACAGCACAGTCGTTGGAAGGATGGTCTAGGACCAGGGGGCAAGTTCCTTTTAGTCTCCTGAGTTGGCTCAGCAGCCATGAGCTAGCTCCCTAACATGGCTGTCGATAGCCAACTAGCTGTCTGTCTACGCCAGGGTGGCAGGCGGAAGGATGGGGGTGGTGAAACGACCCACTGAATTGTAATGTTATAGATGTTCTGTAAAAATGTCAATCGCTGCATTTTTTATATTCTTGTGACCAACATGCTTAGAAGCAGTAAGAGAAAAAAGTGTGGTGGGCGTGTGGGGAAGCTTTAGAAAAAGACAACTTTTTTAAAAACTAAGATTTGACTTACAAAAGTGAGAATAGAGGTACACAACTTAACAGCGGTACGTGGGAAAGAAGAAACAGTGACGTCTGGGGAGCATTTTTATTTTTTGCTCACTCTCCCTCCCCCCAGCCCCCCTTTTGGTGTTGTAATTCCAGGTATATCCAATATTCCTTGTGTATTTTCACTGGTCACAAAAGATTACATTTGGCTCGTGTCTGTTTTATTACGGGCCTCCACTGATGATCACAATTACAAGGTGAACTAGTGATGTAAATGATGTTTATTGACACTGACCAAAACATACACAAATATTCCTGAAGAACAAGATGAAATGTCCTGGTTTCTCTTCTCACGTGGAGGCCCTCTTATTCTGAAGGCAGGGTGTGTGCCCATTCGCTTGCCCAAACCAGCCTCCTATCCCGGCAGGCCAGCGTCCTGGGGAGGGGCTTGGTTTTCATTTGGCCTTTCCTGAAAAGCCTTCCGCTAGTGAATGCCAGGCGTTGGTGCTCCCAGGGGGCTGGCTGCAGGGGCAGGTCCAATGGATCATTGATGGGAAGTTTCCCTATTGCCATCAAAACGGACTTTCTGGTGTGCCCTGGGCCTCCGAGGACGGTTAAGTTGAAAGATGCTGCTGGCTGTGGCTTGGAAGCCAAGTAGCATCAGACCCAGAGTCTGCATCTGCTGAGCAAAGAGCTGAGGTCCTCTGAGAATCAACAGTCTCCCTAGGGCGGCGGCCACCTGGTCAGAAGGGCTCAGACGCACCGAGTCGAATGGTGGCTGGGAATGGTGCCAGGAGCTTACTCCTCTTTGATGCCCCACAAAGAAAGTCATGGGTAAAAGCTAGCCCACCCAGAGCTTTTCTACACGTTCCCTTGCCTTTGGGGGTCCTCACTCCTACTAATCAGGAGGGACTGGGAGAGTGGGCCCCTTACAAACACCACTCTGGAAACCCCTATTGTTTCATCTGAGTTTGAGAGGCACTTCAAACTCCACCCAGCTCATCCCAGAGAAGATACTGTATGGAATTTCACTCACGAGTCAAACATTTCAAACGCTTCTGCTTAGTCAGTTCATCTCTGCTCCAGGAATCGGACATCAGGTGTCACAAGGCGAAGATGAGGCAACAGAACCATGTTCAATAATGTAATCATTAGACGCTGCGCCCTCTCCCATGCTCTTGCCAGACATCTTACATGTTACTCTGAGAGCCATTCAGACACAGACAAGAATGCCCACATCAGGGGAAGGTAAAACAGACAACATATTTCGCTCCAAAGTGCCAATGTTTTGCTTTCTTTTGTTTGGAGGGAAAAATAATAATAACCACACACAATCAGAGGTAAACAATGTTTTCATCGGCTGGATCCTCTTTCTCTGCATCCTGTCTGGCCGTGGTCTGTAGGCTTAGCTTTGCCTCTGGCCGGGGACGTGGTGGAGGTGAGTCCTGGGGGTGGGGGCGCTCAGTCAAGGAGGCAACCAGATCTGCAACAAACAGACAGCTGAGGTTACAGGTGGTCTGCAGGCCGCCCCCCGACCCCTGCAGGCACGTGGGCACCACGTCTCCAAGAGACGGGGCTCTCTCGAGTCTGGAAATCAAACTGAGTCACGGAGAAGGGCCCAGCCCAGAGAGGAAGGCGCAAAACGCCGTCAAAAGGACAACAGAATCGCTTTCATTCCGATGCGCTTGGTTCTACCCGCACACGCCTCCTGGGGTTCAAATCGACCTTCCCAAAAGACGCCCAGGGAAGGTCAAATGAATACAGACCCATCAGCATCCACCACCTATGAAAACCCATGCTGCTGAGAAAGAACTAGCTGGGGTTTTTTGTTTTGGTTTGGTTTTTAGTGGTCCCGGGCCTCAGGACCAGCCCAGCTGCTCATAAAGCATTTTTGTGTCTACAAAGCACCTGCCCTCAGAGTCTCTCCCAGCCAAGGACTGTTCTCAAGACTTAAATCTTGACGCGGGGACTTCATTGATGTGTGAGAAGTCAGGGGACAGGAGTTGAAGGATGGAGGGGCGCTTCCAGCCTCACCGTTATGCAAATCTGTCAGCACTCCATGAATTACTTAGCAGACATAGAAGGAATCCTAGGGAAAATCGTTCATTAGTGACAATGACTGGGCCTCTTGCTCTGCCCCCCCCTTCCTGGTTGCCTAGCAACAGCAGGACACCATCTCTTCTCTGGTCAGCACTCTATCCAAAATGGTTGTCCAGGGGGCATTTAGTGGAAAGAAAAGGAAGGCACTAGCCGAGCGCCATTTTCTCTGCACTTGTCTCATGGGCCACCCTCCCTGAAGCTCAGCCATGGGGCTAAAGGACAAGTCACCGACTTCGTCACAGCAAAAGTAGCAGGTCGGTGAGAGCCAGGGAGACCCCCTCCGTCAGTGGAGTGGGCACGACCATGACAACCATGCCCTTACACTTACCAACAATCATGGAGGTGGCGCAGGATGGGGCAGCACATCCCTCTGTGAGACCTAGGGTCACCATTAGCCAGAGACGACTTAAGGGCAATGAAGGCAATGAGAGGTCGGGGCACAGGGCTGCGTGTGGATGCCTACCGACAATGAGTTATCAGGGCACACAGTCGAGCGCCTATGGAAGCCCGGGCAGGCAGGGCGCCTAGCCTGCACCGGCTCCTTTTGTCACTCATTAACAGGAGACCCTCCTAACCTTGCCATGTCTGAGCCACACCTCTGTTCTTTAGGTGGATGCCCATGCACGCTAGCACCGCGGGATATAAGCGCATGCAGTGATTGCCTTCCCGGCCAGTGTTCTCACCTGCAAGAGACGGCATGAAGCATGGCTTGGTTGGAATGGAGGGCAAGATGGCCTCCCGAGACGTGACCTTGGCCACACCTCACTGCATCACGCTTCCAATAGGAAGTAGGACCCGTGAGGGAAGCGTGCCCAGAGCCTCAGAGAGTAGAGACAGAGCGTCCGGAGGACCAGTGCCTGAGGCTTAGAGGGCCCTCGGGGTTGGAGTGTGGCTGAAAGAGGTGTTGAGAAAGGGAGGCGACTCCATAGCTCTGCTCAAATGGCCCTTCAATGGCAAATGAAGCACCAATCAGAATCTCTGTGCACTGGAGTGACTTATGCAGATTCCACTGACCCGGATCCCAGATCCTGTCAGGAGGAACGCACCAACCACTGAGAACATAGCCACGGGAGAAGCCTGGAACTATTTCTCTAGGGCCTTTCCACGAACTGGAACTGTGCCAGGTCTTCTTTCAGTCTTCCGAGGTTGTCGCCGCCCACACACTGGGAGGCTGAGGATCAAGCTCATGAGGCATCTTGCCCAGTGTCCTGCAGCTAAGAAGACCTGAACCCAGAGGCTCATTCTGACTTGGGACGATGCTGTGCTCATCCAGTCAAGATTCTTGGGCAATTGGGATTTCTTGTTGAGTTGAAAATGACTCCTTCATCTTTTATGAATTAAGAGCTTAGCGCTGGTGGTGCAGTGATTAAGTGCTGGGCTACTAGCCAAAAGGTTGGCGGTTCTAACCCACCAGCCACTTGACAGAAGAAAGATGTGACAGTTTCCTTAGGGAAAGATTGTTGTTTTCGTTCCTGCTTGGGGCCATGGGGTCAGTTCACACCCTATGTGCAACCAAATGCATGCACCCTCTTCACAGAGGTGGCTGCATTGCAGCCACGGGGTCACTGCAGCTCCTGAGAATCTTCCTCTTTCCTCGGCCCCTCTACTTTACCCAGCCAGGGGTCCTTCTCTAGGAATGGGCACCAACTGAGAACATACATGAAACAAAGCCTTTCTGTCCCTGCATCTAAGACGCACATGCCAGCGGTGACTCTTCCAAGACAGATGTGTTCGCTCTTCTGAGATCTGGGGTACAGGCCACGCCGTAATTCAAACGCACTGATTCTCGAGTCTGCCTTCTCCACCGTCCAGTTGCTGCAGGCAGATGAGACAACTGAAAATAGCATGGTTTGTGTCAGGCACACATCTCAGTCCTCAAGGTGAAACCTTGTATCTTTAAGACTTTTATAGAAGTCTTTTGCAGCTAATTTTCCCAATGCAACACGTCTATTTGTGTCTTGATTGCTGGTTCCATGAAAGTTAAAAACGACATCCTTGACTACTTCAATATTTCCTCCACTTGGTGGTGCAGTGGTTAAGCACTGGGCCGCTAACTGGAAAGTCCGCAGTTCAAATCCACCAGCCAGCTCCGTGGAAGAAAAGGTGGCACTCTGCTTCCACAACAATCTACATCCCTGGAAGCTCTACGCAGCAGTTCTGCTCTGGGCTCTGGGTCACTCTGAGTGACAAGTTGGCAGTAAAGGGTTGGATTTCGCTCACTTTTGTCCTGCTCCTGCATTGTGCCAGTTGTGAGGACTTTGGTTTTATCAGGAGGTAGAATCCACACTGAAGGGGGGAGGGGTTTTCCTCCATCAGTAAGTGATTTAAGTCCTCTGCTTTCGGCAAGCAAGCTTTTATGCCAGAGGTTGTTCATGAGCCCTTTTCCCAATCCCGATACTGTCTTCTTCTTTATGTAGTTCAACGTCTTGGATTATTCACTCAATATATAGTTTACGTTTTGTGAAATGACTCAACCCTGATGTTCACCTTTCCTGATTTAAAACCTTGTTTTGTTCAAATGTCTGCCACTTGGTTCTAGATGAGCACAATTAAGTGAGCTGAATTCCCATTCTTCTCAATGTTATCCATAATTTTGTGTGAGGCATACAGTCAAATGCCTCTGCATGACCCATGGGACACAGGTGAGCATCTTTGTGGTAGTCTCCGCTTTCTGCAGGACATGTCTGACATCAGCAAAATGATCCCGCATTCCACATTCTTGAGTATCTAGAAGTCACCTGTCAATGTACTGCCGTAACCAGTGCTGAATTCTTTCCAGCAAAACTTTACTTGTGTGTGTTATTAAAGCTACTATTCTATAATGTCGACATTGCGCTGGATTCTCTTCCTCTGAAATGGTCATAAATATAAATCTCTTCTACTTGGTTGGCCAGGCAGCTGTCATCCAAACGTCATGGACTATTGCACCCTGGGAACCCCTATGGGGTGGTTCCACTCTGTCCTATCTCCTGTTGCTCTGAGTTGTAATCCACGTGGCAATGGTTTGGGTTGGGGGTTTGGATGCTTAAAATTATCATCCTTAAGTTCCACATTGTGAGACTCGGTTACTCAAAATTGAAAGAAAAGCATAAATAAATAAATAAACAGACAAACAAATAAATAAGACCTTTTGAACACCTCAAATTGACACATCATCTGCGGCAGAATTGGCAACCTCCCTCATAATCACTCAAAAGCAAAACTCCCCAGGTAATTATCTCACCACTAGGAAAAGACTACCTACCTACTGACGAAGCTCTCCACCCTATTGCCCCACAGTGGGGGGGGGGGGAGGGGGGGGAGCATTCCTGCCTGTGAACACAGGCGCTGCCACAATTCCAATTCTGCTTCCCAGCTATTGATGGAGGAAGCCACCCCACCTCTACAAACAACTCTTCCCTGCTCACCTACTGACACCTACTCCTCTCTAACTACTGATACGACACTAATGGGTTAGAGACCCATTTGTCTAACCCATGGCAGCACGACCCACCAGCCAGGAGCCACGAAGTGCTCCAGTAGGAATGAGAAAAGCTCAAGGAATGGGGCCGTGTGGAGGGACTGCTGACACATCTGTGACAGGGTTGGGGACACTGCAGGAGCCCTGGTGGCATAGTGGTCACCTGTTGGGCTGCTACCTGCACGGTTAGCCCATGCATCAATTCCACGGCAGTGAGTGTGGGTTTATTGGAGGCCCTGGAAGCCCCTAATCCACGGAGGTTTCCTTTCTCTGGGAGATGAAACATGTAGACAAGAGTCCAAAATACTGGCGCATCGGGCTACCGGGAGAGTCCCCTTTCTGACTGAAGAGAAGCTTGTTTCGAAAAGAACCAGAGCACCCACTATACCTCAGACAGGATCACGAACTTTCAGTCCCAGACTCTCGCTCAAGCAGACCGGGAGTCAAGAAGAGTGAGTGGGGATGGGGAGGAAGCAAATCTTTGGTGTGTGAGGTGGAAGTAGAGATTTAATCAGGGCTTGTTCATATAAGAATACACGTGCAGCCGGAGCCCGAGCTGAGTGGCCCATGCTGTAATTCCAGATGTATTACTCGATGAGGTTTGAGTGGTGTCACCCGGATGGGAACTCAATTTCCTCCCCATGTTCCTTCTGGGTTTCTGCCTGAACTAGGTAGGCAAGGTCAGGCAGTCTGTCTTTGAAATTAGAAACCGCTCCGTGATTTCTGATTTTTATTACTCCATTTCAACTCTGAAAGAAGCGGCGAAGCAACTGTGTATTTCTCAGAGCCAGCCACCTTTTCCACACGTTCTGCCCTGGAGAGTAGCATCATCATCACCATCATCATCATCATCATCATCATCATCATCATCATCATCACCCAGAAGTCTATGCTGCAGAAAACCTTTGTTAAAATCGAACTCC